CCATCATGAACCCCCTCCCCATCATGAACATAAACCATGAACACCATGAACCCCATCATGAACCAAACAAGCGCCTCCACCTCACACATGACGCCACAGTGAGCAGCGTTAGGCCACTCACTGGTGCCTGTGCACTACATATATCTCATCCTACTGTACCCATAGAATACCGCTTTGAATCGTACTGTGTAATGTAGCACAATATCACCGCTTCGAGAAGACCGGTGTCCAGCGCGGGGGCGGGGGAAGGGCGGAAACATCGAGTGGAGGGTTGGGGCAAGGGCAGGGAAATATGATGGAGTACCTCAAAGTTTGATGCAAAAACGCATGATCGCACCGGCTCGCCTGGTGCGTCCCAGCCTGGGTTTTCTCCTTTTTTCCTTCTTTCCTTTTATCCTCCTCAAAGTTTGATGCAAAAACGCATGATCGCACCGGCTCGCCTGGTGCGTTCCAGCCTGGGTTTTGTTTTATTAGCAGCAAAACTGTCGTACCGATGAGGTCCAGTTGTGGTGCTGAATAGAAACGTCTGGGACTTAAGAGGCCGAAACATTCCTGTTCACCCAATTTTTATACGGTTTTACATATATGCAAATGCAAAAATGCATATTGTCAAGAGGCCGTGCTGCTCGCACTTTTTATCACTCTCTTCCAACTCGAGAACCAGAAGTGGTAGAAGGTTCAAACTTCGGGGATATGTGCCCACACCATGCGCGACCCTCCCGTTTTAATAATATCAGTTGCGAACGCCTGGGTCCCACTTCGTTATGATAGTGGCTGAAGTATTCGAGGATTTCAGATGTGCGACACATAATTCAGAACTTTTTAGAACTTCACCAATTTGCAGAGGGATGGATGTGCCCGTAACAGTATGTGAAAAACTCCGAGTATTGGATGGTGGCTTTGGTACAGAATTAGAAGCAGCGGGTTACAGTACTGAAGTAAGACAAAATTTTCTTGGCTCTCTGCTACACTGTGCTTAAATAATGTTATTAGGCTGGATCAAATCTGTACTTACGAAGTGACTTACCACAGCAGGTCCATTGCTCGCTGCTATGCGGCTAGTAGCTAAATTTTTGACTTACTTCTTTCAAATTCGCCAATCTGTTCTGATTACTCATCATTACTGGCTTATCAAGAGTAATGGCCACCAGAAAAGCTACACTTGCCTTTTGCTGAATCGCTGAAAGAGTTAAAAGCCAGAAGCCTTTCCCAAGATGAATTGCGTGGGATAGGTGCTAGCTGCTTTACAAATATCTTTTTAATGATTAAAATTTAACAGATAGGCGCGGCGACGGGGCTGAGGCACGCAACCAAGTTCTGAGTAAAGTAGAAAGCATTTCTGCGAAAATCTGTTAAACAAGCCGATATGCTGACTTTGGTGATACATCTTGCCTACAGTGATTGGCATCAAGCACAACACATCCATAAAAACTCAAATCATTTGTAGAATGATCCACTGTGGAGTGCTGCGGCACTGTTCGACAGGCCAGATCTCGTACTTCAGACCCATAAGAGGTATCTTTTTGCGTTTGCTTGTAAGCTTATACGTGATTTGCTTTCAGATGTTGATGAACTGCAGTTGTGACAGATCTCTGGGATAAATTAGCTCAATATCTCTGGGACACAATGCATATGGTGGGCATAGTTTTAAAAAAAAAAGAGTCCCAAACTATTTGTTTTATCACAATATCGTATGCTGATATTTTTGGAGGTTTTTGCTAGGCAGTGTGATTTCATCTGATTGAGAAGATTTGTTGAATCGTTGTCACCCCCACATATTTAGATTCATTGAAGCTGGCTGTGACATTATTCTTACCAACACTTATCATGCTAGTATCAGCACCATGATGAACACTCGTGGCTTGACGAAGACTGCCGCCGAATCAGTCCTCAAAGTAATCGTTTGTTTCCGCACGGTTATAATTAGCTCTTGGTTCACTGTGTCAATCCATCGTTAGAATTAGCAGCACTTTCATGGATGCTGTGATCGAACCGGTATTACTTATCTGTGGATTCCACCAGCAATTCTAGCCCTCACTTTTCTGTTTTCTTCCTCCATGCGTAGGAAAATTCAAGATGCTTCACACACTTCCTGCAACTTTTATGCCTGTTCTTTTCAACTCTTAGCGCTCCTGCACTGTACACGCTTTGGAACAAATTTCCCATAAAGGGCCATTTACGTGTGAGAAAAGTGCAAATAATTAGCTATTTTTGCGGTTTTCAAAGGCGTCAAGCACTAGGCGAAATTACCAAAAGCAATACTGCGGGGGCGATCGTGTGTCCTTTAAAAAATTTATTAGAATGCTTTGTGAATCGCACATTTTTCTTACCCAAAACCACGCTCTCTTCTTTATATTGCTCCATACTTAATATATGTTCATCAAGACAAATATGCGGTTACTGATTATGATAAATTGCGTTACACAACAGAAAGCCCGAATGATCATAAGCTCTTCCGGGCACCCATTTGGTTAATGCGAAATAGATCCTAAGATATGATTTTTTTTTCGAACCTCTCCGGCGTGTGGGAGTTCAAAAACAGCTCTTATTTAATGTGACATCATAATTCCGAGCAAAGTAGCGATCGAAGCTTGTTTCAGTTCTAGCCCTTGCAGCACGCCAAAGTTTAATGTTTCAAGCTTGTGGCATTTTTCATCCTCGATTTGGAATACTAGTGGCCTCGTAAAGAATCTGCTGTAGCGTGTACCCGTGCAGTAGTATCTTTTTTTACGTGCTATTGAATTACTAATGTTATTGCCAATAACAGTAATAACGGTAATAGGAATAATAACAGCAAAAAATAATAGCAATAGTAGTAACAATAGTAGTAGTGATAGTAATAGTAATAATGGGAGTAGTAATAATGATAATGATGGTAACAATAACAACAACAACAACAACAATAATAATAATAATAATAATAATAATAATAATA